CTTTAATTAAGATGCATGCGAATCAAACAGAATAAAATGCTTCATGGACTGCAGATGGTCGTATTTTGTCTTTCTGATCTTCAGACAGGCTGCGTTTAATTGTTTCGGATTTCCGATTCCAACACAGCTCCTCTTTCTTTGTTGGATTTAGCCACGTCTTGTTTTTTGTTGTAGTAGGGGGTTTTCCGGCGTAGGCAACAGCGTAAGGTCATATATGCGGCAAGGGGAGGATGTCAACAGAGAAGTCCTTACAGGGAATCAGGCTTACTCTGCTCACCTCTCTAGTTTCAACAGCACAAAGTCTGCTTCGACTATCAAGGCACCCCGGAAATAGCGGGAGACAAGAGTGTGACAAACATACAAAAGACGTAGAGGAAAGATGACGATAGTAAGGATGAGGAAAGAAAAAGCAGCAGTTCCCTGTTGCAGTTCAGGCGCAGTTTTGAGCATGACATTGATGAATTAGCCCTTTTATCATAATTACAATTTTCTACTGTGCATAAGAACAGGGAATGGCCTAAAAACACTTCAGTCAGTAGTACCACCCCGGGGGATGGCCACGTCTTGGCAAAGGCAAAGGTGCAGTCTTCCGTGAGCTCCAGTTTATCAAGGATGGTATCACAAGGACCATATTGCAATGCTCGAAGAACCTTTTTCTAAATACTTCTGTTCGATGATTTTGTCGTACGTCATCCTCACGTGTCCCAAAACGGTTGCCATGACTTCCTGTCTAGTTTCAAAATATAATTTCTTAAAAATGTTCTGTATAAAGGAAGGCTACCGAGCGAGATGCAACGTGTTACTCTTTCAGACTCGTTCCAGACAACACATGTGTGAAGGTTAAACATGCTGAAGTTGTAGACTTGGGAGTTTCGTTTTGTCCAGCATGGGCGGCTGAGTACTTACACGGTATGCCCTGTCAATACTGAGATTCAGTAGGAATTCATGGGTTGTTTATGTGACAGTTACACGCTTTTCCATTGGTTATAGTGTCCCTAAATCCAAACAGAATATGCTTTGTTGCTCCATGATCTTAAATATCGAAAAAAAACGGTGTTTCTATTTTTAGACTTACACGGTTTGCGACTTCACCGTCAATATATAATATGTATGCGTATATAATGTATATTTCTTTGTATCATATAAATATATATATATTGTGTGTGTGTGTATGTGTGTGTGTGTGTTTGTGTGTGTGTGTGTGTGTGTGTGTGTGTGTGTGTGTGTGAGTGTGTGTGTGTGTGTGTGTGTGAGTGTGTGTTTGTGTGTGTGGTGTATCACTTAGGTGCTTTGCTATTACACGCAGGAGACTCGAGTTCGATTACCCAGCTCAGTGAACATTTTTATCGAGTGTGTCAGTCTTTCTGAAGGTACGTCGTATCCCTCTCAGCCCGGGTTGGCCCTGGCAGGCAGGGTCGAAAGCCTGCCTTAAAAATGACCTTAATTGTGCCTTTAGGGGCGTAGAAACACCAACATTTTACAGAAGTTTTTAAACAGCGTGGAGCACAAAGACACAAAAACATGTTTCATTGCGATGTGAAAATGTACATCACTAATACCTTCTGGGTCTGACCTAATTACGTCCTTATCAAATAGACTAAGACATGTGTTTTACCCGAATTATGTGTGCGATTTGCACCGGATATAAGGGAAGAGGGGAGGAGGAGGAGGAGGAGGAGGAGGAGGGGAATGTCACTAATAATGTAAAGAATAATATGATTACGCAAAACCGCAACAACAAAAACAATAACAACCGTCACATCACCAAACACCACTACCACAACCACCAATCGCCAACCTTCTTCGTTCACTTGTATAAGAACACCATTAACTAACTGAAGACGCGCATTCTGGTCGACAATTCTTGAAGATGCGCTGTTTTGGGGCATAACTTCACTATTCAAATAGATTTTACTTCTTTTTTTTTTATCTGGAACATTAACAGGTTTGAAACAGAATGCAAGCTACGAAACATGCAAACTTATTTTTCTGATTTGTTTATGATGGTTCGAAATGCACTGAAACGTTGCCTTTGCTCAGCGGCTAATCGGACATGATATAATGTGCTGTACGTCCTCAAAAAGTTAACTTTATGGACACTCGCTTTGAACTTTTAAGAACGCTTGATGACACATCGTTTTGGAGTACTTTAAAAAAGGGAATCATAACTTCCTTATATTCATACAGATTTCAGTTACTTCATTTTTTAGACAAACTGCTATATGCATACTATAAACGTATCACGGTGCATTGCAATCAGGCGCCCGTCAATGTCATTTTTGGCGTTTTATAAAGTTATTGGAATAATCTTAAAGCTTGTTCATTTGTCTTGCTTTTGGTGAAAATATACTCATCTATTTATCTTGAATAACAGTCTTGATATCTGCTAGGAAATGAAGCGGAGGTCGCCAGGTGACAGAGGCAAAAATAACAAGAGAAGGGCCGTCCACTTTTGGTGACCTCCAAAGCTTGAGTACACTTTGGAAACTGAACATTTAATAATAATAAATAGCATCTGTATAGCGCGTGTCCCCACTCGAAAGCAAGCTCTATGCCCTTTACACTAAATTATTACCCCGGCAGACCATAGAACACTCAGAAACATTCTCAGCTTCCCGGGAAGCATGCAGTGCAAGGAGCTGGTTAAGCGCTCAGACACTAACAAACTGACAAGATCTTTCACTGTCTATAGCTGGGTACCCATTCCCACCTGGGTGAAGTGGGGGAAATTTGTGTAAAGTGCCTTTCCCAAGGTCACAACGTCGGGCCCGCGGCTCGAACTCCCGAACCTGCAACCTCACGATTACGAGTCTGGTGGTAGCCTAACCACTAGGCCACCGACGCCAATAAAGTGCAGCAATACCCAGGACAGACCTGACAGTCCCCAGGCTCTGAAGAGATGATGCCATAAAAAAAACCTGCGAGGCTGGAAATGTACATCCTGGGCAGGCGCAGTTCGTCCATAGAGCACGGTCGTGCAGTGCCGCCCAAAAATGTTTTAATGTTCTATTACGTAAAACACCTACAATGCATGTAATAAAATAACACACGCCAGAAACAAACACTACCCAAATATTGTATCAAAACACGTTTCTCACTGGCGCCATAACTGTCATGTCTGTGTCTATAGCGCCGTAAAACATCTGCTACGCCATGCCAAAGTTCATGCACTGTATCTAAACGTAGCAGGATATTCAACAGTGGAAACCTGACCTATAAATCGCTCTTTGGGGTGACCAAAGCGATGACGACACTCGTAGAGAGTTTGGCGGCACATTAATATTAATAAGACGGCACATCTCAAATGTGCTCCTGCCGAATAGTGCCGAAACACAGCCCACAGTAGGCAATCTAAAAATAAACGCGATAGACTGTGCACTATTATATGCCAAAATTATTGAAGCCCCGGAGCAATCCAACGGAGTGCTCAAATGAATTGTGATTGGTTCGTTATCCTGCCGCTATTTTAAGTGACTCTGTGACCGTGAACCTGAGGGAGGTGAACGTGACATACTTAAGTCATCGTCCTATGAGTTGTGCTTTTGAACGGTTTTGTAGTGGAGTGGTGAAAGGTATTACTCGAGTGTTCAGTTCAAATGCAGGATGAATGAAATTGACATTTAGCTAACAAACAGATTTAGTTCTAGAAGTCAAAGCCACAAGTAAAAAGAATGAAAATAGAATCACACGGTTCTCCCTCACCAACCCAAAGATCCTAAAAGTATACACCATCTCATTAACTATGCCCTTGACTATCTTCAACCTAATATTGCTGAATTGTGCACGCCCACTTTTTAGACCCACGAGCCGCCCCTGATCCTGGGTGCCTTTAAACAACGTTTAAAAGTAAAAACCCTCACGGAAATGTGTTTTAAAATGGACGTTATAGTGTTGGGCTAAAAGAAAATTTCGATAAAAATTGTCCAACTGGAGAAAAAAATTGATGCTTTGTTCGATTCCTTTACTTTGACAAGCGCCTGATTTTTACCACGGTGCCTCACAAATATCCTCAATCCTGGTTCTGATTTTTGCACGACTGCTCGAAATGTGCTGCAACATTGCCGTTGATCTGCTGTCAGACATAATTAATATGTGTCTGCAACGTCCGTTAGGATTTAATCTAGGTGACTCCCGGAAAACAACAGCAGCTAAAGCAATCACAGCGCCGGGGAGCAAAACAATGTAAGAGTTAAACCTCAAGTATCTGATTGATTTTCCCCGTCTTTGTTTCCTGTTGTCATCTCTTGCTTCGTTTCTAATTTCAATCCCTTTGTAGTTTCCTAGTGGTTAGGCTCTCGGACTCGCAACCGTAAGGTCATGGGTTCGAATCCCGTCAAGGGCCCGACGTTTTGTCCTTGGGAAAGGCATTTACACGAATTTTCCTCACTTTACCCAGGTGGGAATGGGTACCCGGCTAAAGACAGCGAAAGATCTTGTCAGTTTGTTAGTGTTTGAGCGCTTAATCGGCTGCTCGCACTGTATGCTTCCCGGGAAGCTGAGAATGTTTCGGAGTGTTCTGTGGTCTGCTGGGGTAATAATATAGTGTAAAGCGCATAGAGCCTGCTGTTGAGCGGGGATATGCGCAATACAAATGCTATCTATTATTATTATTATTATTATTCAACAAAGGGAAACTTTTTCCGCTCTAAAACATTTTCTTCCTTCCTTTTTGTATCGTCTAGTTTTTGTTTCCGTTGTCCTCGTTAATTCACAATAGGCACACTTGATGAAAATTTATTTTCTCCACTTTCTCTTTTCTTCACTCTCACTTCTCTTCCTTTCCCTTTGTTTTCTGGTTCACACATTGTTGGTTTCTAAAATACGTAAAGTGACAACATCACATCCTCCAGATTCCCTGGAGGTCAGGTTTTATGCTCGCTGCAGACGTAGACAAAGACAGATCTCTCGATATCAGGAGCCCTCCGCAAGTCACCACATGTAAAGACTCGCCCAGAAATTGTCCACCCTCGCAGAGTTTTTTGTGGCATCATCTCTTAAGAGCCTGGGGACTGTCAGGTCTGTCCTGGATATTGCTGCACTTTGTTGCTAAGGTAATTAACATTGTTTGTCAAGGTCAGAGATTAGATACATTTTATTGGTCTATGGAATTCAATTCCATTTATCCTTACATTTCTAGTTATCCAGAAATAAAATGTCCGGTCTTCTGTCGATGACTCGTATACATACTTTATTTCTTTTCTTTCCGATTCAATGAATTCAGAGAGAGCAAAGTGTGATTCAATGCTAATGTACTTCAAAGCAATGGTAAAAATGTAAACAGGTCATCAAAAACATACATATAAATACAAAACAAAACAATGCATACAGCTGCTGTTCGTTCAGCTCAAAAACAAAACAAGCACCAGTCATAATTATGTTAACTTCTAAACCAGAACGTCAGCAGTTTCTGGACATTAGTGATGTATTTATACTAAAGAAAAAAAACCGTTTTGGAACGTATCAATTTCATACGGTCAAATTACAAATGAAATCATCTCATCTGAATGATAAAATGAATATCTTATTGAATTGGGCGTCTACCAGAAATAAAACTACCACTGCTTCTGATAGAGCATATCGATGCCGCTTTGTGTAATTAAAGACCAAACAACAGCAACGTGTTAGTGTATTAGTGGTGCTATATTTGACTCCGACTAAAATTCATCACAGTTTATGGGTGAGTTTATCAATAGCATTCTCAATAACTCGAAATCGTATCATCACAGTTTTGAATCATAATCGAGAGATGTTCTATTCGAGCGGCTTAAAAATCAAACGAAAAGATGGTCTGTGCGATTTTAATCAAATGTGAGGCAGCGTGGTGGAATCAGGCTCTCGTCAATTTTTGGGCAAGTAGAGTTATTGGTATAAAGTTAAAGCTTTTCACTTGTCTTTATTTATATGAAAAAAATATCCATTATCTTGAATACAAGTCGAGATATTTGCGAATTAAGGAGATTGGGGGTCACCTGCTTTCAGATATAAAATTAGTGAGAAAATGACCGACAAAGATTAGTTATTTCCTTAGCTTAAATGTCCATGGTATCTGAAAAATTACATTTTTGTGCCTTTAATCAACGTTTTTCAGAAAAATCCCCACAGAAATGAGTTCTTTAATGGGCATGAAAGGTGTTCAGCCAAAAAAACGAAAATTTGATAAAAATTCACATACCTGAGGAAAAAAACAAGTTTCTTCACATTGATTATTTTGACGAGAGCCTGATTCCACCACGCTGCCTCACAAATATGTTCTGAAGAGAAACAAAATTTTGGATCTTAACCACTGACAATCTAGTTTAAAATCAAAGCAGTACATTTCCAAGTGTGGGTGTGTCAAAGATGCTATGTAGAGCGCAATATCAGACCCCCACAGTCTGCAAGCTTGTCAATAGCATTCTGTACCACTGAAAAACGAGAAAAACCGAGCCGATCCAGAAGACAGATGAATAGGATAGGGTGGGGTACAATAATCGTCAATGTCTCATCCAGACCCCTGAAGAAGAAGAAGAAGAAGAAGAAGAAGAAGAAGAAGAAGAAGAAGAAGAAGAAGAAGAAGAAGAAGAAGAAGAAGAAGAAGAAGAAGTCCACTAAAAATCAAGCCGCTTTTTCCATGCACTTTTATACGGTAGGAGACTTATCACGTGACCACAACGTTTTGCACTTCCGTCGGAAGTCTAAACTAGAAGCAAAATAAATAAGTGGGTTAACAGCCGGGGTCACAAAGTAAAACCGGATAGCCACGTTGACCAGATTGAGCTGCAGTGCGTCTTGTTTGTAATCCGCGTCCTTGATGAACGCGCGAGGAATGCTCACGAGGAAGTAGGGCGTGTAGGAAAGAACGAAAGTAAACGTGAGGATGAACGCAGTGAGGGACACAGCCTGCTCCGCTGTTTTCTTCTTGTTTTTCACCGTGGGAGGTTTAGCTTGTACGTTTGTTTGTATGGCTGTTGAATTTGCGACTGTATCAGGGTTATCGATCCTAGAATTGTCGCCCCTGGACGTCTCAACACCGTATCTTTCGATCTCGCCGGAAAGAACAAATCTCTGAAAAAGTGCGGTATGAGCCCTAGCGACCTCCTGGGTTTGGGTTTGAATCTGATTGGAACCGTTGTGGATAGGATCTGACAGAATAGGATCGTTGTAGCCCAACTCACCTAGTTCCCCAACCACTCCTTGCCCAATGCTAGGCTCAATGTTGTCTAAAGGGTTCGCGACTGAGGCTGCGTTGCCACCAGACTGAGAAAATAGCCCAGCCTCGTCTTCTTTAAGGCGAAGCCTGTAGTTATTATTCAAATTCGAGAGACTGAGTGGGTTGGAAGCTAACTCTGAATGTTCCACAATTCCCTTTTGTATATGGCAAGATTTGTTGTTGTCTCCTGGTGGCGAGAGAGAATATGTGTTGGCTAAAGAATGGGAGCTTTGTTCAGCCACCCTTTGAGCATAGCGAAGTGTAACGCGTTCGCCTGACTCTAAGTCGTGCGGAGGCGACTGATAAGAGCT